TCAGTCTTGGGCTCTTTACCTTAGGAAAGACATTGAATTGTTGGAAAGGGTTACTAGAATGGTGCCTGGGGTGGAGGGGTTGTCATATGAGGAGAGGTTGAAATCTCTCAAATTATCTTCTCTTGAAAAAAGAAGAGTTGGGAGGGATCTGATTGAGGTGTTTAAGATTGTAAAGGGAATTGATAGTTTTGATGTATCATCTTTTGTTATATTTAACAATGAGAATATAAATTCTCAAGTATAAATTTTGGCAAGGTATGAGTCATCTTCAGCTAAGACAGTTTTATATTTTTAGCAGGGTGGTTAGCCTTTGGAAGGGGTTGTCTTCAGATGTGGTAGAGGCAGTAAATTTAAGTGAGTTTAAGAAAAAGCTTGATAAGTATATGAATGAAAAGGGTCGGGTTTAAAATTTTATTATTATTATTATTTTAATCATTTTAATTTAGTTTTGAGGATGGAACAGCCGAGATAGACCAATAGGTCCCATGTTGTCCTAAAATATTATGTTATGTTTCATGAATTGTATACAATATTTATGACTGAATGTGAAAAAACCTTCAGAACTGTTATTCATGCAGAAGGTAGACCAACCTGTTATTAGGTATAGTTTGTAATGAAGTGATAATGTCAATGATTTTTCTCAGTTAATGTTATTTGAAGCTATCTGAGAATAAGTATTTATACCATTTTAGGTATTTCAGGGAGAAATAAGGGTGTTAGAGGCCTTGGCTGCATCTGGCCTAAGATCTGTACGATATGCAATGGAAGTACCTAATCTGACTCAGATTATTGCAAATGATGTCTCTCATCAGGCTGTAGAAAGCATGAAGAGAAATATCAAACACAATAAACTAGAAGGAATTATTATCCCAAGCAAAGAAGAAGCTGCGTATGTATACCTTAATTTACTGAGAAATTGAATGTTTGAATTTAAATGTCATTGTATCAAAGCAAATAAGCACAGTTTATATATATTGATAAAAGATTCTTTGATATGAATGAAAGACTGATGAATATTTTAAGGAATCAATGAATGGCTAAGATTTTAATGTTAAACATAATATGTTTTTTATTCTACTTTTTAAATAAATTCTGTATTAAAGAATTGGAGTTGTAAAGTTTTATGCATAGTCAAAATTTTGTTGTTTTGTTTATGAAAATTCTAAATTGTGTCATCTACATATTTTTTTCGCTTGTTGATTTTATATATTGAAAAGTGTGTTTGCGTTACATGTATCTTACATAAAGCTTTTCTGAAAGTATGTGTGACAACATTATTAACTACAACCTAAATAAATAAATGTACTTTAAAGTATTAATATTTGCTTTAAACATATCTACATCATATACTATTTTCTCAAGAAAAACCCTTCAATTTTATCAGGTTGTTGATGTACCAACATCGTTCCTTTAGCAGAAGGTTTCATGTTGTCGATTTAGATCCATATGGTAGTCCCTGCCAATTTTTGGATGCTGCTGTCCAGGCTGTACATGATGGAGGTCAGGTTTAGTGTATTTTATGACTGATAAAATTATTTATGATTGTTTCTGCCCCCATCTTATTTTTGTGTTAACCCTAAAATCCCAGCATGGAGTAACTATGACGCTATACAAGTTAAACCTGTATACTAAACTAACCACAGTGGTGTTCTAGTTTTACAATGATATACAGATGCTATTAAAGAACTCCACAGTAACATATAATTATAAACAAGTTGCAAAAAGTATATAAACATGCAGAAAAAACTTAAAACATATAATTATTGATGTCTTCCTTAAAAACAAAATTATTGAAAAATTGAAGTGAACTTACAAAATTGATACTACACATATGGAATATTATACTAAATTTTTACCATTAATGTTTCTTATTTTTAAGCCATATATTTTAGTTGTACTCTCTTTCTGTATTTTCAGAGAATGCTTTGGTTTAAATAATGTAAATAGTAAATAATTATCTGTGAGCTTTAGTAGAATTAAAATAAAAAAATTACTTCATTTATTTGAGATGGTACAGAGTTTTAATATTGATATTAAACCATTTCAGACATTTTCTTGACACAAATAGTATAGTACATACAGTTGTTAAAAGATATTTCCAAATTGGACTAACCCCTTTCACACAAAAACTACTTGGATTGTTGTCTGCCCTCTAATCATTACTCAAATAATTTTTAGTAATCAACGCACCAGTCTTTATACTCCACCAGTTTCATGCCATTTCTGAACATGTGCATATCATGTCACTACTCTCCACCAATAGTATTGCATCACCTATAATGGTGCAGCTAGCTTCCTCTGCTATTTCCACTTAATCCTCACTTGTTTGATTGGCATGATATACTTTAGACATATGTTTAATTTTTCGAGTGTGACTACAGTTTTTGATTGAGCTTTGTTGCCTTTGTTCAACAATTTATAATTTTTGCATTTGATTTCATATGTTTCCACAAATTTGAATTCGAAATTTACTTGTTCCCAAATTCTATGTGTTTTAGTAGGAATTCAGTGTTTCCTGTTGTGGACATTGATATTACCACAACAGGCAACAATGCATAGGGTTGACTTTATCTACTGAGGAAGTATGTGCCTTGGATTTATAGTCTTATTATCAGCCATCATTTCTTCTTCTTTTCAACATGACGCTGTTTCTAATTTTAATCAGTGTAGGACTTATTTCTCTGTCCTTGTCTAGATTACTTTCTCTGGCTGGTACCTTAGATATTACGTATTATTACATTTTCTCAGTAATTTTTGTCAGTTGACACATTTATTATTTCTATATTCTTTGTGGTCTAGAAAAATTTTGATGTTTGTCAGTCCTTTGTTTACTGGGTATATTTCGATAGTTGGTACTTTACATATCATTACTACTAGTAATTTGTATTCATTGTTTTATCTAAACTTTTTCATGAATATTCAATCTGTGGTAACTCTAAAAGACACACAGAAGTAAGCACAGCACCACAAAAATGTTATAATTCTGAGTAAAAAGAAAAACATCAAACAATAAGCAGAAATAGAATAATAAAATCTTAATCCCAAATACATACCAGACAACGGAACTGAGGTTCTGTGGTTTGCATTTTTTTTTAATCACCAAAACAAAATTGCACTCTACACTTTGGGGCTGTCAGAGTGAGAATAATGACCAATCTACTATTTGGTCTGACAAGAGTATCCCAAGAGTTAGAAGTGGGTGTTCTTGACTAACTCTCTTCTCTCTGGTTTCTCAGCTTAAAATTATGAACAGCTAATGTAGATAGCTCTTTTGTAGCTTTGCACAAAATCTAACAAACAAACAAATCAAATTATGTTTGGAGAGTGAATGTGTAGTATCTGACAATAATCATGATATACATAAATTGAACAATTTATTTTGCTGGGTAAAATTGTGTAAACTTATAATCTTTGTCATTGCTTTGACACCATTAAATTTTTTATGACATTAGTCAATAAGAGTTAACTTTTACAGTCTGTTGGTATATATTCTATACTACTTTACAACAACTACTTGAATTGATTAATAGTATTATTGTTACTCATATTTCAAATATCACATTGACATTCTTTGAAGGGGTTACTGCTTATGTAGATGAGAGTGCAGGTGTGGATTTGGTGTATCTGCATTTTCAGAAGTCATTTTAGATGGTGCCACATAAACGTTATCTCTGTAGGTGTGGGGATGGGTTAGATCATTGAATAGAAAACTGGCTTGACGGAAGAAAGCAGAACATTGTTGTATGTGGAATTCAGTCAAACTGGATTAATGTTACGAGTGGGGTGCCTTAGGGCTCAGTGCTTTTTTTAATTTACATCAAAGACATAGATGAAGGAATAAATTATTCAAATTTGCTCATGACATTAAAGCTTTGGATAAATAAATTGCAGGTGTCTTTTAATTATAATAATTATAAGGTAATGCATGTGGGATATCACAATTTGAATTATGATTTTGATGGGAATAACCTTAACATTGTTATGGAAGAAAAATATCTTGGTGTTCTGGTTCATCAGTCTCTTAAGCCATCTAAGCAATGTGCTGTTGCTAGTGGCAGAGCAAATAGGACTTTAGGTTGTATCTACAGAAATCTGAATACAAGTCTAAAGAGCTTAAAATTTCCTTGTATAGGTCATTTGTTAGGCCATATTTGGAATACTGTGTTCAATCATGGGTTTCTTACCTTAGAAAAGACATTGAATTCTTGGAAAGAGTTCAGAGGAGAGCTGCTAGGATGATACCTGGGATGGAAAGTTTAGCATCTGAAAAGAGGATAAGGTCTCTCAACTTGTTTTCTCTTGAAACGAGGAGTTAGAGGATCTGATTGAGGTGTTTAAGATTGCTAAAGGACTTATAGTGTTATTGAATTATCTTTTTTTATATTTAATGTAGAGAATAGTAAGACTAGGGGACACAAGTATAAATTTTGGCAGGGTATGAGTCATCTTCAGCTAAGACAGTTTTATTTTTCTAATGGGTTGGTTAGTCTTTGGGACAAGTTGCTTTGAGATGTGGTAGATGCAGTTAATTTAAGGGAGTTTATGGGAAAATTGACAAATATTTGAATGATAAGAGCTGGCTTTGAGGTTTTTGTGTTTAGTTTAATTTAGTGGATAGAATGTCTTAAACTGGACCAAAATGTCCCTCGTTGTCCTATAATGTTATATAAACTTGCACATTACATCTCACCACTTCAAGAAGTGTGGTCTTGTTCTGTGGTTTGTCCTTTTCTAGAGTTATTGATATAAAATGAAATTTCTCAGAATTGGTCTTGTTCAACAAATTTAAGAAAATACTTTCTCACAAATGTGAACAATTGTGACGATGAGAAATAATTACAATTTTGCAAATAGTTTTTCTACTGAACAGTTCTGAAAAAATTAAAGAGAGCTGTTCATCAAGTACCTACATTAATGTGATTATTTGTGGTGAACAAACATCATACACATACATCTCTAACATCCTGAAGGAGAAAACTCCTAAAAAGTATCAGCATAGTTT